CTCCATGTCTTTTGTAATATAATTGCGCCTTTTGACAATTCACAACCTCATAGCCCCTAAACAACAAAGAACAAAGGTGAATTGAAAAGTGAAGTCCATTATTTTAGTATCCACACATTGAATAAGAATGGCGGGACTGCTGAGCCCTCACAATGTTGGACTTGTGGGCTTATGACGGGTGGGTGTCTTGTTCAAAAAAGAAAAATCCAGCTTTACTGGAAGGGAAGGGAGATAAGTAACTGTCTGTCATCTCCTAACTACTATTCAAGTGATGCACTCAAAGTACCTCGAGGAGTTTTCATTGTACATTTGTATTCAGCAGAGCCCTAAAAATATGTTTCAGGGCTCAGGGATACATACGTAGAAATGTATTGAATGCATTTCCTACCTCATAAAAGGTTTGCAAAGCAGAGGTCTTCTTCTCTTCCCTTTGTGTTGACATACTCTTACCTTTTACAGCACATTACCACCAAAGCTACCACCCTCTTTACTCTGCAGGATACTCTGTATCACATTGCCTCCCTGCTCATACACGTACATACAGTACAGTATGTGTTCATGCCAGTTCTATTCCCAAACAAGAACATAAATATTGGCTGCCTCTGCAGAACCACCAAAAACAAATAAAAAAGTTTTAATGTCCGGAGCCAAGGTTTTTAAAATTCTTGCTCTCTTGCAACATCGGCGAATAAGAAAGAAATAACAAAGGAAAGGTTGTTGTAAAGACATTTTGGGGAAGTACACTTACTCATTTTCTCCCTGAAAGTTAGATGAGAAGATCAAGACCTCTCATGTCTGTACACTAAATACAGTGTGAAGCTGCCATCTGGCACAGTAGCTTAAGTAAAATGTCGAGCTGTCATCCATACACTTTGGTTTTTGTACAGATTAAACGAATGAGATCTAATGTGTTAATAAGTGCTGAAGTGAAGAAGTGCTGGTAGGCAGATTTTGTAGCCTTTGGACTAATCCAAGCAAGCAGCTCCACCTCCTGCTTACAGTCTTTATGCTTAACTAAGTCAGACGGCTGCTGGCAGTAGCTTTATATTTAGCATACAGACATGAGAATGGTATTGATCTTCTAAGCGCGTTTTACCAAAATGTGAAACTTTTCCTTGGTTAGGCAACTACAACACTCAAGTTAAGGTTATGGAAAGATCATGGTTACAGTTACTGAAAATGTCTGTGATGTAAACTCCAGTGTCCTCCAGTCAAGCTTGCTACACACCCACCTGTACGTCGACATAAAGCGAACAACAGCTTCCTGTATTGTCACTGATCCGTGCATGTGCTGGTAGAAAACGAGCAACAAACAATACAATGCTCATCAAGAGGTTAATTTATTTACAGAGCGCATTTATGAACAAATGTTGACCAAGGTGCTTTACACTGGAAATACAGTTGGATAATTAAACATAAATTAAAATAATCAAAAATTAAAACATTGCTCTACAGTTACCTTGGTGTAAAAACAATCAACGAGGTACATTTAACTCAGTTGCTACAAGTCTGACTTTGTGTATCACTATGATTGTGAAGTATGAGGGGTGACGCTGCACAAGACATGCAAACTCAGCAAGACACTGCATGGATTAAAAAAACAATATCATTCTCATAGGCAGAGCTCTTTCTGAAGACGGATTCAGCTGACTGGGTAAATGAGTGACATTTCCTCAGCGGAGGCCCCTGCAAAGTTGTGGGAAGACTGTAAATGATCCGTCAAATATACACACACTGGCAATACACAGCGGGAAAATTTAAGGAGTTCAATGATACACACCAAATTCAATATACAAAGGACAATAAGGTGGATTACCTGTGCATGCTGCTGCAGCTTGGTGTCGATGGACTTTTTTCTTTTTCTTTTTTTTTTTGCTTTGTTCTTTTAAAAGCTTTATACAAGAAACTGCTTGTTTTGCACATCTCCAGTAGGCATCCCCCCCATCACATGGATAAAGCAAGAATATTAATGTGCAATGTGTCCTGCCGTATAGATACACTGCTGGAACGTATCTTTAAGTAAACATGTCACTTTATTGACATTAAAGCGTATTTGCAGGATATTTCCCTGCATTTAATTTATATATTAGACTGTGCAAACCACACTGACTGACTCACTCGTGTCAAATGAGGAGATAAAAATGGGGTTTTTATGCACATAGTATGTTTCTAGTCATGAATGGTTTTGAGTGAATTTGGAAAAACTGCACAGTGTTTTACATTTTCAACAAGTGCACAGAAATCATAATTAAGACCAAGCAACTCTCCACTACTGCATTAAATTGTGACTACATAGCCCAGAGACATTGTTCTACTAATGAAGAAGTCTGTATTTAGAAATTACAAACAGCCACTGCAGTGAAGTATTACTGTTTGGACCTGCCTGCTTTGTACGCTGGGATGCAGCTAATAAATCTTTAAAGGCTGAAAACACCCTTTCTCTTTGTCTTCACGAAACATTTTTTTATTTATGTGTTTATTTTATTCTTTTTTGTGATGAGCTTTTTATTACTTTGGATTGCAGTGACATGAATTATACCGAAAACTGGCCTATTCAGTAGCCAATTTTTTTTTTGTCCTGTGTGTTGATTACAAAAGCTGCCATTTTAGTCCCACACTAATATGATCCACAACATTACTTCCCATGATGAAGCACATTTGCTGATTCCCATAAGCATTTTAGAGACACTATAACACAGTGCGAGGCACTATACAGCCACCAAGGGGCATTTAGTTACTCTTAATTCATTGGCAATCACCGACTCGTGCTTTGTTACCACACACACACACAAAAGATGAGTTCTGAATGTTTTTCTGCTGTTACACACCCTGCTATACTTCTGTCATCTCAGGGAATAATTACAACAACAATAAGCTCAAGATATGAAAGGGTTAGAGTTTACAGCGTACTAGCAAGTGAATGTGTCATTTCGCAACTCTTGATGTTCTCAGAATAATAAAGCAGACATATCCCTTCAGCAAAGGGAGAGTAGTTGCAGTGTTTTTCTGTTGTTCATGGTCTGTCAGGTATAGCTCAATAGCCTTAAGGCTGTCCCAAATATTTAATGCACAGTTTATGGCTCCCTTTAGAAATATTATCAAGTAGTTAACCTTGCCTGACAGGCTGACCCCTGGCTACAACTCTGGGAAATGAACCACTGAATTTCTGGTCAATAGGGTAATTATGTCAGAGAAGGTCAAGCGGTAGTGATTTACATAAAAAACGAATACAGACAGACATTGTGATGGTGTATCCAGGTTTTTTTTATAATTTTTTTACTGCAGATAAGCAAAGCAAAAAGATTCTGTGGAAGTGGATACTATAGTTTAAGATTTTTTTTTTATGTAACATTAGAAGGCTGTATTATCTCAATACATTTCAATAGCAGCTGATAACGGTGAGTTAGAACAGTAGCTCATAAAAGTGGAATTAACTGTAAAAGCTTTGGACAGCACTTTACTTAAGGACCATTTTGAGGTACTTCAATTGACTGTTAACTTGTCTGGTTTCTTTATCCCACATTTCAGGTGGAAATATATTACCTCAATAAAGTTACTCCATCATACTCATCTGACAGATACTAGTTACTTTTCAGAGTAAAAGTTCTTTCAAAACATGATCTGTTTATAAAATACCATGCATTGTTACTGATACCCAGGAACTGCAGTTATTAAAATTACCTAAATATATTTACTCAAGGTGCTTTATAGCTAGAATCAGCTCCACCTCAGCCAACTTTCACATTAAAAAGCTTAATTAGAAACAGTTATTCAATAATATATAACAATACATTTCTGACAGAAACCAATTTGGCTGAACAGTGGGTAGCCTACTTATAGGTACATTACGAAAATCAGCCTACACACTATTACTGAAGTACAGTTTTGAATTCAAGAGTTGTAATTGAAATGGTGAATAGGGTCGGTCTGTTTAATTAAATGATCTGAATTCACTTGCAATGTTGCCTATAGTTATAAGGCTGCTTACATTGCTGCCTCAGCAATAATGTAAAAGTAATGTAACGCTCTAACAGGGACCATTCAGTTAGTACTTTTAAATAAATTTTGCACATAATACTGCTGTAGTTTTACTTGTGGTTCCTCATGCACTGCTACTTTTATGTAAATTAATAAGCTAACTATTTCTCCCACCACTGCTCATCTATTCCTTGAAGACAAAATGTTAAAGGCTGCAAATTCCAATGTAAACACTGAGATTAATTAAATCATTTGAAAGTGGACATTTGGAAAGCAGTAGTCCAGTTTAACTGTGATAATGTCTGCTTAATTGGCAATAGGACACCAATCAGAGGCCATATGCTCATAGGCTGAGGATAGGCATTAATTAGACAATTTTCCAGACAAGGACACTGGCACGAGCTCCAAGGCAGTGGCGTGACAAGTGACCACATTGTTATCCTGAAATTAGGCACACACTTGGTGCAGATGAAAATGTAAAAAAAAAAAGAAAAGAAAAAAAGGGAAAGGAGAAAAAAGGAAGAGAGATATCACTGAAAGACATTTTCTTTCATCTGGTCATTAAGGGCGCGCGGGCACAAACACTGGCGCGTGCGCACATGCATGCGCACATCTTTGTAATTTCTCAACAGGTCCACGGAGGATTGCACAAGACCTCTCCCACTCTCTCCTCTTCTTCTCTCTCACTTCCTCTCTCTCTCTCGCTCTTACTCTCTCCCCCTCCGAAAACCCGAAAGCTGTTGGCTCGCGCGCGCTCAGTCTAATTATTCCACTCTCGCGCGGCAGAGTGCCGACTGCTGAAACCGCCGCACCACTTTCCTCCTCTTTCCCTCCGCACTGCGATTCCGTGAGGTGACGGCTCTCCTAGCAGGAAACTAATTAGCCCAAACACCTGGAGAGAGAGAGAGCGTTCGTCAGGGCACGGAAACGTGTTTAGAGGAGCCTCCAGCGAAACGACAAATGCCCGAGACCCGCGTCCGGTGCCCCCAGACCCGATGGGGAGGGAGACCAGCAGAGCAGTAATGGGACAGTTTTCGGGAGGATGCTACTTGAGTTTTGCCACCCTCGTGCTTCTCGGCTCGCAAGTCCCGGCCACGTTAGCGAGAGGTAAGCACAGCACAGACACTCTCTTTGATGAGCCGGTTGCTTTTTGATGTCAGTCCTCGAGGATAAACTCGAGGAAAAAGGTGCGCGTGCCTCGACAGACGGTGTTTGTAGATGTGCTATTAGTTGATTTTGTCTCTGAAAAGTGATATTCCAGTCGGTGTGATCTGTTGGTGTTTGCGTGTGTGTGATAGGGAAAAAATAAAATTAAAAAAAGTAAGACATTTTTTCAGATTGCGTTTGAATTATGCCAAGTTTTTATTTGTAATAGGCTACGCCACGCTCTGGCTGAATTGTGCTTGACTAGTGTGATTCTTTTTTTCTTTGAACCCTTTAAAATGAAGCTAATTATCAATTCAAAAATTACTCCGTGGTTCAGTTCTGTTCGGATATCACCTCCACTCCAAGATGCAATTTCGGCTCTGTTGTGCTTCGCCATGTTTTAACTGTAATGCAAAAGGAGAGCATATTATTCCGTTATCCACAGCCTATAAGCAATATGTGAATATTAAAAGTAAGTTTTATGCTGTTTTCCCCGACATTTTATCTGCTGAATCCATTACATTTATACAGTTGCCAGAGAACCTCCTTAATTACATGAATTGTTTCATTGAGAAATAATCCTGATGAGGAAATATCGGTACAGTTGGAGGAGCTGGTCGCATGCCAGTCTGTCCTGTTTTGTTCACTCCTGTGGTCTGAGCTATTGTTTAACACAGAATAAAGTACAGCTACTCCCAAGCTTGATGATAAATGGAGATGATTGCTTGAGAGCATGAGCTCACTTCTGCAACTTTAATTGGTTGTTTTTCGTGGTTGCTTTGACAGCTGTGGGTGCTTTTATTTTGATTTCTCAGCACAAACAAAATTTTGATATTACCAAAAGGTTAGTTGATGCAGTGGGTATAAAGGTTAGGTTGTTACATGGAGGAGCCCCCACTACCAGTTTTATGAAAATGTAACTGTACTGTAAAACCCCACTGTCTTTCTTTATGATAATGCATAAATGTGATGTAAGCAGTTTGTGATGTAAGCCTGAGAGAATACTGAGATGTCCTGCCTTGTCTTAAAATGTCTCCATTTGGTCAGTGTTTTTTTTTTTTCTTCTTCTTCTTTTTTTCTGACCTATTGACATCCATTTAGCTCACATGGCAGTGTAACAAAGATGCATTTGCAATTCAATTAGTTAACTAGCCCCAAGGTTTTCGTTTTTGCATCTTAAGTTTTGAAATTAGCTTCGACTTGGAAATCTGCATTGCATAAATATTAGATTACGCATGTGTATCTTCAGGGCGACTTTGCATAGGGATCATGAGGGTTTTTTTTTGTCATTGTTTTAAAATTAGTTTGAAAGGCGTTGAAAATAACCTTTTTGAAAACTGGCTGTCCATTGTATTTACACAACCAGCATTTCACAGTGGCTACATTTACATGTAAAATTATATTTTGAAAGGAGTGACCTATGCTTGGCAGACAAAACAATAATGTTGTGAGGGCGTGAAGGTAAAATGTGCCTGTGTGCAGATGCAGTTTTCATAAGTTGCTTAGGTAAATGCTGAAATACATCTGCCAGGTTTTAAAGTGGTTTCTGTATTTGTGATGGCTCTCTGCCCGGCTGCAAAATAAATATTTATGTTGTGCAATGATATGGATGTAAACAGTCAAATACTTTAACTGTACTTTACCTGACTAAATAATGTAAAATCTACAGGCAAGAGGAGCTTGGTTGCAATAAAAATTCAGCTCTCTAGCCAAATGCATGTATAGCCTGTCTTACAGATGGTAATTTATTTGCCAATTAGGAGCTAAGCTGTAATTCAGGGATCTGAATTCATTCTTTATCTTGCAAGGAGGGGACTCACCACTCATCTGCAAGCATAGAATTTAAAGCTTAGCACACTGAGGAAGTGAAGAGCACGAAGTGACAATAACAAACTTACCCCAAGGAGAAACCTAGAATCAGTGACCACAGGTGGATTCAGGGAGGAGATGGGGCTGATGAAATGCTGAGCAGCAGCAGTGAATATAACAGAGGTGTTCGCAGCAGTGCCAGGGTGAGCAAGCACATCACAGCTTGGATTTGTTCACATGTAAGTAAGAGTGTGTTGCATGTGTGTGCAGCTACACAACTTGAGTCATCTGTGGGAAGATCTGTGGCTTTGTGGGCTTTTCTCCGTGAGTTCCTCATGAATGTAAATTAATGTCTTTGGAGAACTATTTGGGTTTTCATGAAATGCCCCATTGTCAATAATTTCTACGAAAGCCAATCGCAAAACAATTTATTTGACATTGTAGATCAATCGAAAATAAAGCACTTGTACTAAAATGTCACAAAAAAATGACGGCACAGTGTTTAAAAGACTAGAGCTACAACAAATGATTATTTTCATCATTTAATCTGTAGATTATTTTCTCGATTTTAATAAATTAATTTTTTGGTCAATAAAATGTCAGAAAATTGCAGGAAATCCTCAAAATTTAGAAGATGAATCAAGGGAAAGTTTGGGATTTTTGCTTGAAAAATTAGTGATAACGATTAATCGATTATCGAAACAGTTAATTATTTACTTGTTGATTAATCACCTGATCACTTCAGCTCTAATTTTGAGTGTAGGTGTAGTGCTGCCAGAGCGCAATGGAACGACGCTCCTACACTTTTTCTCCAAGCTAGATGTTTGGCTAACTGCTGCGTGTTATTCTCAACAAACTATTCATAAAAGTCAGTCTACCATTTGATGGTGTGGTCAGTTATAGTTGACGAATGTATGTAAACCTGCCATCGAAGGAGAAGTGGTAACATAACCTTCGAAACAAGCCACAAATCATGTGAGCGTGTCATTGGTAGTGAAACAAATAGCTCTGGTCCTGCTGTTGTTAATACTCACTAAGGTGCCAAATCTGTATTTAATTTGTGGTTGAAAACAGTCTCCCTACAAATGCAGCTCTTGTTCTTGTTTGAATAATGTTTGTTTAAAACTGCACTGCCCAGCTTTTTAAGTAAATTACTGACATTACATCCTCAGTGGCCTTATGAATGGGCTTGAGGCTGAGTGCCACAGACAAAGAGGGGAAGTTGGAAATTATCGAGAAATGATTAACATATTGTTGGTTTTGGTCTTGGGATTTGTCAACAATATAGAATAATACCAACCTTTAAGACTAGATAGTTGAATGGCATAAACTAATTGGATGGACTGCTTGATTCAAAACATCACTTAGGTCCTGTGTGAGGTTATTAGGGTGAAATCAATAAGTGTACCCCCTGCAGTAAGACTGACATGACAATAGCCTTAAGACATGTAGCTGGTCAGCCAGAAGCAAGATGCCACACTCTGTCTAAATGTAAAGAAGCAGCAGCCTGTCATGCTGCATGACAGACGGCTGATTGACCGTAGATCATAGTAGAGAAAACCCTGTACAGGATAACCTCCGCTCCAGCTTTCTTGCAACCACAATGTCATACAAAGAAAAACACGCTAGTCCCAACCACAGACAACTAGCAACAGACCAACACTAGCATAATACCGAATTTCACTTAATTGTAGTTACATAAATTTCCTTTTAGTTTAATGAAACCCAAAGAGCTCTTAGTGGCTGAGGCTCGGAGCTGCAGCCCATGTAGCTTATTGTACCCACTGCTGCTAAAAACGCACGCTGGCTTGAGCACGGTGAAAGTGGAAAAAACTCAAGAGAAACAGAGAGTGGGTGGGGGGGGAGTGGAGGGTGGATAAAGGGCAATGGAGTCATCTCTGCCATGTTTTATTTATCCCCAAAAGAATGACTGCCAGACTCTTTCTCAAGCCCCGGCTTTGATTTAACTGACATTTCACATGAGCTGAATTCACGAGCACAGTTGGGCTGGTATCCACAGTTGTTTCTGTTCTGTAGGAGATTGCACGGTGGTCATACTGCCCAGTTTCACTCGTGCATTATTCAAAGGGAGCCCATTTCTCTATCCAACTCTCTCATCATTTCTTCTTCACATTCAAAGGGAACTAAGCTCACCAGCAGCAAAACAAGGGTGGGAAATACTATCTACGGTGAAAGCAGACAGCTATAAAATCAAAAACGGGGAAATGATTGGGGATGTTATTCAAAGAAAATAAATTTTGCTTGGAAGTAAATATACACACACTCATTACACTGATTAAGTGTGATGAGAGTCTGTGTTGGACAGAGCTATTGTTTTTTGTCTATGAGATATTGAGACTTTGGAATGTGGTCAATAAATAAGCTTTTGTGGATGATATTCCCCAGAGAAGCAGGATTGATTGGAAGAGAATGCTTTTGTTTGCTCCAATAAAGAAAAACAATGCTTTCATTATAAAGCTGTTGATGTAACTTCATATTTCTACACAGGTCCTTTGTGGTTATGTATAGATTCATGGAAGTTCTCTCTCCAGTTTGAGGTCAGTTTAGTCTTTGTTGTATATGGCTGAATTCTTCGTTACTGCACGCATTTATTTATGATATTATATTATTTAGAGTCAGGGATTATTAGGGATGTCCCAGTCAAGTTTATTTTGGCCCTGATCCTGATCCCTATCCCCCACCCAGTGCACACTCAAAGCTACAACTTGAAAGGTTGCTAAGATTGAACTTAATTCATCTTGAACTCTAACTCTGGTGAAGTTGTTGAAACGACAAAAAGACCCAGTCTACTTGTGATTCCACACCAATGATCTTTGGCTGTGTAAAAACACTGGCTTGCAGACAGCACACAAACCCCAACAACAGCCGAGTTATTCTCAGAATTAACATTAATTGGCAACAGCTGATGGTACCTACTGCCAGGGACATATGTCATTTAACCAGCAAGTGCGATGGTCAAAAATGAGAAGCTACTACTTAAATGTGCTCTTTGCTAATAAGAGCAATTAGCCAAACGAATCATTGTGTTTTGCAAATTGGGGCCACCCAAACTCTGAGTCACTCAAGGCAGTGTGCTGAAATAATTCATCAAATTTATCACACAGTCTAATTTAATACAGTAGTAAAGAAAG